TAGATCATTGAAAGTGTCCTTCAAAAACATAGAGAAAGAAGTATATTTTGTTAAAGATTAGAAAAAAAAAACCTATAATCGAAATCGAAATCGAAATAGTACAAAACTATAACCCTAAAAATTAGAAAACCAAAAAGTTAAACTAGAGCCGAACCGCAACCGAACCGATATGTAGATATAAACCACTAGATTTATTGAAATCGTCTTCCTCCTCCTCACCATTCCGGTGATGCTCAAAATGCAAAGACGCTTCCTTTCGTCAATCTCCGCCACCGCCGGCAATACTAAAACCCTAAATCAAGGAAGATGGAGTGTGAAGCAAGTGAAAAAATCAAACTTTCATGTAACCCTCGACGAGATTCGAACTTCCATCGATTCATCAGACTTCATAGCTCTCTCACTACAAAACACCGGCTCATACGCCGCCGCGTGGCACCGTGTCTCCGCCATTGATACGCCGCAAACCAGCTACTTGAAAGCTAAATACGCCGCCGAACGTTACCAGATTCTCCAGTTCGCTCTCTGCCCTTTCTCTCTTCACGGCTCTAAACTCACTGTTCACCCGTATGACTCTTAAATCTCTCTCCTTTATTCTCAAGTTTCTTCCTTTTTGCCAATTTGATTAATTAGGGTTTATGGGTTTTTGTAGATATAACTTCCATTTGTTTCCTCGTGATGAATTGAAGTGTGGGATGCCTTCTTATAGCTTCTCTTGTCAAGCTTCTCGTTTAACAGCTATGGCTAGAGAAGGATTTGATTTCAACACTTGTATCTATGAAGGTTTATTATTGCTGCTCTATCTCCATTTGTTTCTTTGAGGAGTGTGGTCTCTTAATTGAATCATATTACAGGAATTTCATACTTATCTAGAGCACAAGAGTCTGCGTCGAAGTTTCTCTCCGGGAATCCGATTTTAGCTGATCATATCACTGTATCTTCTTCTCCAGCTACTGTAGCTGATACCGTCTTTGTTGGGAGGATTAGGTCACGTGTCAAGAATTGGAGACAATCTTGTATAGACTCGGGTTCAAAGACAGGAGATGGTGTAATAGCGAGTGTTAGACAATTTCATATGAATCTCATTTGCTTTAAGATTTCCATTTTTTTTTAACATAATGGATCTGTTTGTTTAATTTCAGATGATTTGGTGAGTTCTTTGAGAAGGCTGGTGTTGGGGAGTGAGCAGTATGGTTCAAGGCTGTGTTTGACTATTGATGTTTGCAGTGAGCGTCAAGTGCAACTTATCCTAGAGGTAGATGAGCTTAGTTGATACTTGGGATGATAAATGCAGTCTGCGTATCGATGGTTAGTTTGATAAAATTCATGTGCTTCTATATTTGTGACCACAGATGTTGACTGAGTTCTCCGATGATGTTGTCCCTCTACTCGTCGCTTCTAAGAGCAGAGGAACACAAGCAGTTCGTACGGTCTTTATGAGTTCGAAGGAGGACAAGGATCTTTTTAAGGTTGGGAAATTATTTTGGATATTCCTTAGCTAGAAATGACCGATAATGATGGGGAAGACCTCTTTAATAAAATTCATCTGAATTTATGTTCTTGGACAGAGAGAGCTTCAAGATCTTGAAAAAGAAGAAAACAGGCGCGTTCGTGGCTTTCGGGAAGTGGTCGATTTGATTTCTTCTTCACAGAAACCTGTCGTTTCCCAGAATTATCTTAGCGGTAATCTCAATTTTCTCCTCAGTTTGCACACAAATTAGATTTTCCCCTCTTGCTCCATTGATGATAATCGTATGCTTAACTTGTTGTAGACTTTACTTCCATTCATGCCAAATTCCTGGGTCCTCTACCTTCAAATTTGGATGACTTCAGCAGTTCACTGAGCTCAGCATTTCCCAATGTTGTGGATCTGAGTCAGTTCATGAAAGAAATTAGTCCTTTAAGTAATATAAGCAATCTACCTGCAGCTATGTCCTCCTTGAATCGTTTCTTTGTACCTGTGGATGTGGAAGTGGCTAATCAAGGTAGAGTTCTCTTCAATGATGTTGGTTTCTGCTTTATGCTCTCTTGTAAATATTTAAAACACGCGAGTTAGGCTATTTTGGTGAATGGATAATGACTTTTATTGGCTTCTCTTATTACTTATTAGGCTGTCCGGTCAAATTAAACGAGGGCCATCAGAGTCACGGGCAGAATGCTGTGATGATATCTCAGCTCTTTGCAAAACTATGTACCATACAGAAATCAGATCAATCGACTGTCCAATCAAATGAAGATTTCCAAGCTTTGGCTTCTGATGAACATGCAAATTCTGTCACCTCTTGCTCTAAAAACGCTGGCGATGAAAATGTTAAAGTCTGGTCAAAGAACAGCCGGAGAGTAAGCTCAGAGAACTTGGTGTCATCTGGGGGTTAGCAAAAAAGATGACAGCTGCAAAACTGAAGAATGTCTTACAAAAGTCACACCCCGTGTTTGCGCAAGAGTTTGATGTTAAATACTTAGACCGGAGCTGTGCTATTGTGGTATTTTGGGAGTCAGGTCCTTCAGAAACTTTCCTCAGTGTGGTTAACAATGAAGAGCAACTTGATGGTTCCTTAAGAGAGATGGTTGCACAAGGGCTAAGAGCTTCAGGTTACGAGACATACAAGAGAGCATGTAGATTAGGCTTCTGGGAGGCGGACTTGGCGGATTCTTTAGACAAAGCATTGGAATCTTCAGATACCGATCCTGATTCCGACACCAAACCATCAGAGATTGATTGGTCAAACGAACTAGCTATTAATTTTGATGAGCTTTGAATAGTTCTGGTTCATTACAGAACCAATGTATACCCCAAATTGAGAACGTTAATGCATTTTTGTTCTTCCATGAGTTATTTGTCTAAGATCAAAAGTTACTGTAGCTTTATTGGATACAAAATTGAACCAAACCGTGACCCAACAAAAAAGTGAACCAAACCGAAATATTGGTTTAGGCCGAGGCTAAACCCGGTTTATGAACCTGTAATTGTTGCGTCTCTCTCCAAGAGACCGAGGAGGCAGTTAAACACCGTCGGTGAGAAGAAATGGGGTTTCTGACGGCGGCGATTAGGGTTTCGACATCAGCCTCAATGATTCTACGCCGTAAATCTCGGAAACTAGGGTTCTTAGCCTCCTCTTCGCCGCTCTTTTCCAGTTTGAATTCCAAGAATCGCCCTATCAGGTACTACTAATTTTCCATCAAAAGCATTCGAGCTCGAGCTTTGTGATTTCGGAGAATTCAGATTGTTGATTTGATTCCTTATAAGAGATTGAGATTATTTGCACAGAGATTAACCTATAATGTAGTAGCTCTGGTAATATTGTGTGCAAGGTTTTGCTTAAGGAGTCTCTTAATGGACCAATGTGGAACGTTAGCTTCTTAAGATCATCTTGGTTTCATTCGAATTCAGTTCCTGAGACCGGTGATTGCTTGAGTAAATCTGAGAACAGTTCGAGTCAAGATGGAGGCAGTTCTACTAAATTGAAGAGGAAGAAGCTCAAAGGTAAGCGGGCGGTTGTGCGATGGCTAAAGTTTTTCCGGTGGAAGAAAAAGAAAGAGTTTGAAAGAATGACTGCTGAAGAAAAGATACTTAACAAACTAACAAAGGTTAGCTACTGATTTAGACCAACAAATGTGTGTTGTTATCTCTTATATTCGTGTTTATATCGGTTACTTTCGCAGGCTCGGAAGAAAGAGGAGCGTCTTATGGAGACGATGAAGAAGCTGGAACCTTCAGAGTCAGCGGAAACGACACATGACCCTGAGATTTTGACACCAGAAGAGCATTTTTATTATCTGAAAATGGGTTTGAAGTGCAAGAATTACGTTCCGGTTGGGAGACGCGGGATATACCAAGGAGTGATTCTGAACATGCATCTTCACTGGAAGAAGCATCAGACGCTACAGGTTGTTATCAAAACGTTTACACCTGATGAAGTGAATGAGATTGCTGTTGAGTTAGCGAGGTTGACTGGAGGGATTGTGCTTGATGTACATGAAGGAAATACGATAATTATGTATAGAGGGAAGAACTATGTTCAACCTCCGACTGAAATCATGTCGCCGAGGATTACTCTTCCAAGGAAAAAGGCTTTGGATAAGTCTAAATGTAGGGATGCGCTTCGTGCGGTTAGAAAGTATATTCCGAGGCTTGAACAAGAGCTCCAGTTACTTCAAGCGCAAGCTGAAACGAAACGAGAATATCTGAATGTGAAGGTTGATGATATTCAAGAAAGGTCAGACGAGTTGAAGAAGATTATAGAAAGAAGCGAAGAGTGTTTGGAGGATGAGGAAGAAGAAGAAGATGCAGGATCAGAACTAGCAACGGATTCAGATCTTTCGGATATTTTTGAGACTGATTCGGAATTAGAAGACGAGAAAACAGTGCGACCGCTTTTTCTTGAAGAGTTTGAGAAATTCCCAGCGATAAACAACAACAGAGAAGACGAAGACTTTGGGAAGGCTAAATCAGAAGGTGAGGAGAATGATGATAAGTCACCAAACTTTGATGAAGTAGATAAGATGTTTCTTCGGGCTGCTTCGCTTTTAAAGAAGAAAAGACGATGAATATCAGAGATTCCATCATCTGTACTCATCTCACATTTGGTACAAGTGATGGTGTCATGTGTTTAACAAAGTCGCAAGTATATCTCCTTTCGTCACATGCTCAAAGCTTTAATTCTGTGATACCAAATTGATAATATGTGGTTAGGAGAAATCTGCTTTGCTTCAACTTCAAAATTTTGGTGTGAACACAAAAGCTCCAAAGCAAGTTTATGTTTCTCGTCATTTCGTTGAAAATCATGCCAAAACCAGCGGTTCAACCAATTTTAGACAAAACCTCATAGTCAATAAATTCTAGGAAAATTACAAAATTTGTTTTATCATTGATTCTACCTATCTGAATCAAGTCGAATTCGTTTTTGGCCAAATGCTTTTTCGATCCGGAAGTTCTAGCAAAGAGAATAAGATCACACTACTGATTAAGTAATTAGGAGTTAAAGATTGAACTAGGAGTTTAATGGAGCAAACTTCAAAAGAAGTTACTCCTCCAAAAATAGGTGTATGCCGTTTGAAGTGGAGAGCACACGGTATTCTTTAGTAAAAGGCGAAAGAATAGTTCGCTTTGTGCTCACCACACAGCTCCATGAGTTGATAGTAGAAGTACCAGATGCTTTATATATATGAATCCTTTGACATTTAGTTTCAGTTTTGTTCGATGTGGGACAAAATTTGTTTTCTCTTTGACTGGGCTAAACCATCTCAAGTACAGGGCCGATTGGCCCGTTCCGTGACCAATGTGTTCATTTTCTGATCATCTTTTTTTTTTCTTTCTTTCTTTTTTAGCAATTCGTTTTAGAATTACTGTTTCATTTTGGCTCAAACTTAATTTGATCAGCTCTATTTCTAAAAGTGAGTAAAATCAAGAACGTAGAGAAGGAATTATATTGGGATGTGACACCGTAGACTCCACTGAAAGTCCATAAAAAACAATGTTGGTAGCTTTACCGTTCGATTTTCTGAAAGTTCTTGCAGAGCTGTTATATGTATGAATGTCCTCTCCATGAAGTTAGATGAAGTTTGCTAGAGGAGAATTTGGCTATCACCCGGGCTACAGAAATTCAAAGGTTACTCACTTGTGTTTCACCGATGATATTATGGTATTTGTTAGTGTTATGCGTTTTCAATTTGCCGATGGGAAACATAGATCTATTGAGGGTATTATTTAAGGTGTTTGATCAGTTTGCTAAGGGCTCTAGTTTAAAAATTAGCTTGGAAAAACACAACGGATGTACGTCATCACATGAATCTCCCCTGCTACTAGAACAACGATTGTATCGAGTTTTCCATTAAGCTACAAGAAATGCGTTGACTTTAATTTATCAGAATCATAGAACTGATCCGTTAGGCTAAGTTCACCCTTAACCTCTATAGATGGACCAATGTTGTCGTGAAGTCCACGTAGATTTACACTCATTGAAATAAATGTATATCCCTAAACAACGATTGTATCGAGTTTTCCATTTGCTGGATTTGAGTCAAGCTTGGAACGTAATTCAACAAAAATGGTTTGAATTCGTCTCCAAAATCCACTTCCCTAACTTTGTTGTCCTTTCCAACGATGTATACAATACTTTGGCTTTTGTATCCATTATTTTGAGTATACACGAGGACTTTCTTCTCCTCATCGACCAAGAATTTTATGTCAAATTTGGGCTCAGGCGTCAAATCCACCGCTAAGACCTTGATCCACGACAACACTTTGGTCTCACCAATCTTATTTGTCACCCATATCTCTGTCTTCGACGTAAATGTACGTTGTAATAACACAGAAAGTTTCTCTTCTCTAACAACAGATAGAGACTCGTTTTGATAACCATGATATGGATGCGGATAAGGTAGACATAGACGTTCAAATCTTTCTGTTGTATAATCAAAACTGATTAAGAATAGGCCGAGTTGTTTCTCTTTTTCATTTGTAGCAAACCAGTAAGTCTTTCCTTTCAAAGACACGTTCCGAATGTACATATCGGTGCAGTCCACATTGACATCAAGGATCCTCCTCCATGAATTCGAGTTAATCTCATAAATTTCGAATTCTGGGTCTTGGTGACCATAAAACCTGCGGCTCAATATTTTGTAGCTCTTATTGCCAGATTTGTTGTCTTGGTAAGAACCAAGAGCATAGGTACAGATGTAGCAAAGCTTTCTGTGTTGGATCCACTTGGTTAGACCGGTACACGGGTTCCATACCACGAGCCTAGTACCTTCCACTTCGTTGTTGTCACAGACGCATAACAATAACAATAAGCCAGAAGTGTGGCAGAGTAGAGAGTTCCTGAACTGATCTAAACTATAATGAGGGTCGATTAGGTTAAGTTCACCAGTGACCTCTATAGGTGAAACTCTGTGTAGATTGATGTTCATCGAAGAAAACCCAAACTCATTCCACATGAGAATCAGAGATTGTCTTGGGGCTTTGTGGAAGTGTTTTCTTGTGAATCTCTTATCGTTTTTTAAAAGGTTCCATCGTTTGCAAGTAGATCGTAATCGTTTCAAAGATGTAGCCGGAACGCGGCAGAGTATCTCCTCTAACAAATCCTTTGGAAGTTCTGGCATCATCATTGTTATCTCCGAAGGAAGAAACTGCCGGTGGTGGCTTTGATGTTGTTTAGGGTTTTATGTTTGCTTTATTGTTGTTTAGAGTTTTTTTTGTTTTCGTTATGCGCACTCTTAATATATAGAGACGAATAAATAAAGTTTAGAGAAACTGACTAAAATACCTTAATTTATAATATTGTTCAAATGTAATACCCAAATTTTTTTGTAAAATTGTTTTATTTCTCGGGAAATTTAAATTTATAAAGATAACGCCGATGAACCGTTTTACACTTCAAAACATTTGTGATTCCGCTATTTTATATCATTCAAAATATTCATAAGTTTTCACGTTTTTGAGTTTATGAAAAATGACTCTACTTTATAATACAAACTTGTTTAAAAATAAATAGAAAAATAAAACGTCATTAATCTATTGACGGATTCAGATCTTTCGGATATTTTTGAGACTGGTTTGGAATCAAAATATGAGAAGGCAGAGCGGATTTTTTCTGGCGGGAAAACGTGAAATTATGTTTTTGGCGGGAAAACCGGAAATCATGTTTTTGGCGGGAGAACCGAAAATCACGTTTTTGACGGGAAAACGTGAAATTACGGTTTTGGCGGGAAAACATGAAATTACGTTTTTGGCGGGAAAACCAGAAACCATATTTTTGGCGGGAAAACCGGAAATTACGTTTTTTGCGGGAAAACGTGAAATTACGTTTTTGGCGGGAAAACGTGAAATTACGTTTTGGCGGGAAAACATGAAATTATGTTTTTGGTGGGAAAACGTGAAATTACGTTTTTGGCGGGAAAACCGGAAACCATATTTTTGGCGGGAAAACCGGAAATCACGTTTTTGGCGGGAAAACGTGTAATTACGTTTTTGGCGGGAAAATCAGAAATCACGTTTTTGGCGGGAAAACATTAGATTACGTTTTTGGCGGGAAAACCGGAAATCATATTTTGGTGGAAAAACCGGAAATAATGTTTTTGGCGGAAAAACGTGATATTACGTTTTTGGAGGAAAAACGTGATATTACGTTTTTGGCGGGAAAATTTGAAATTACGTTTTTGGCGGAAAAACGTGAAATTGCGTTTTTAGCGGGGAAACTTGAAATCACGTTTTTGGCGAGAACCGAAAATCATATTTTGGCGGGAAGACATCAAATAAATAAGTAAAGCATTGATAACAATAATAATATAACATTTCCCTTTTAAGTAATTTTGCCATCTAATCGCACTATAATCGTTTTGTCATTCGAAAAAAATAGGATAACGGATCGTAGCCGAATTACATTACCATTCATAAATTTGATTAATCATACCGCACCCAAACTACATCGCTCCCTCCCTCAAATCGGAGTCATCACGCCTAAATCGGAGTGCCATTCGGACCCGATGACGCGTGTGTAGGTAAGAAATGGTGAGATGCCATGAGTGAAGAAAACAAGATGATTGAGAAAAACAGAACATGGTCTCTCGTGGAGAAACTGGAAAAGAAAAACATGATTAGCGTGAAGTGGATATATCGCATCAAAACTGATGCAAATGGAGTTCCATTCAAGTATAAAGCAAGGTTAGTCACAAGAGGGGTTTCTCAAGAATACGGTGTTCTAATCTTGAGACATTTGCACCCGTCTCAACACATGACACAGTTCGAGCCATTCTTGCTCTAGCGGCACAAATGAAGTGGAAGCTTTATCAAAATGAATGTAAAGTCGGTGTTTCTAAATGGAGAACTCGAAGAAGAGATTTACGTCATACAACCACATGGATTCATCGTAGAAGGTGAAGAAGAAAAAGTTCTAAGGCTACGAAAAGCCTCATATTGCTTAAAGCAAGCCCCTCGGACTTGGTATGGGTGTTTACATGCGTATTATGTTCTCTTATATTCATGTTTCTTCTATCTATTATTTACCGCATGCTAAAATAAATGAGTGTTTTTATCACAATTAAAAAATTGTATGACTCAACCAATTAAGCAATTTGAAAAAGATTGAACTAATAGCTTAATGAACCAAGTCGCCTTGGTCCAGTGGTAAAGGAAGGTAATTCCCGCCACTTGGGTTCGAGTAGCATTAGCCACCGGGGTTCGAGCAATTTAACATGGAATCCCGGGACCCAAAGATTAGTTTTTGGGCCTAAAAAGCCTTTAGGATCACCTGAATTATAAAAAAAAAATAAAAAAAATAACTAATAGCTTAATGGAGAAAACTTCAGAGGAAGTAAATCCTCCAAAAATAGGTGTATGCCGTTTGAAGTGGAGATCACACAGTATTCTTTAGTAAAAGGCTAAAGAATAGTACACTTTGTGCTCACCACACGGCTCCATGAATTTACAACTTAAGCTCTCTATACACACCATTGATCAGCCTCAATCCTTGAGGATTCGTCACCTTAGCTACACAACGGATAAAGCAACAAAGTGTTAAAGATTGAACTATGAGATTAATGGAGCAAACTTCAGAAGAAGTTACTCCTCCAAAAATAGGTGTATGCCGTTAAATGTGGAGAGCACACGGTATTCTTTAGTAAAAGGCGAAAGAATAGTTCGCTTTGCGCTCACCACACGGCTCCATGAAATAACAACAACTTAAGCATGAAATGTTTTTTATAAGTGAATCCTTGGATGTTTAGTTTTAGTTTTGTTCGATGTGGGACAAATTTAGTTAGCTTTAACTATGCCAAATTATCTTAAGTACTGGCCCGTTCAGGGGCGGAGGCACACTATTGGTAGTGGGGTCAGCTGACCCCAACTACTTTCTAAAATTCTATCATATGTCTTAACATTAGATCTAATGAACCCTATTAAAATTATCCCTTGACCCCATTGATCCAATCAAAAAACTAATTTACATACATGAAAACCCAATATTTTTTGACATTGAACTCACGTTCAAACGAAACCCAAAACAATAATACAACTTTTAATGATTTATATGAATTAATAGAGAAATAACAATAAAAAAAATTTGTTGTCTCTTCTTCTTCCTACTGCCTAAGGAAAAAAAACTCCAAATTATGGTCTCTCTAAATCAAAGTAATGCTTTCTTTGCTTTTTTTTTTTTATAAATTTTTTTATACTTTTGTGATATGATTCGTTTGTTTATAAAAGGTATGAATGAATGTAGAATGCAATTGTAGATTTTCTTTTTACAGTTTATAAACGATTTTTTTAATATTTATTTTGACCCCAGTTAAAAACAATCCTGGCTCCGCCACTGGGCCCGTTCCGTTCCCGTGCCTACCATGTTCGTATGTAATACATGAATTCCATGAATATTCATTTTCTGATTTTCTCTTTCTTTTTGGTTCATTTAAAGAAGGAAAATCAAGAACGTGGAGAAGGAAGTATGGTAGCTTTACCGATCGATTTCCCAAAGTTCTTGGGAGGAATGTGATCAGATTCTGATTTCACTACATGAATTAGTCATGTTATGAGATAGAGGCTTCATTCCACAAACCCTAGCAGAAATATTCAAACTTCTTGACTTTGTCACATGTCAACATAACTCCTTTTTATGTAAGGAAACATTGATCATAAAACTTAAACTGTGGTAATTACAAAGCAGGGAATACATGGCACTTTTTAGTGAAATATCTATTTATTAAGTATTCAAAGGACATGACTGAGATAACAGTGAAATAAACAAAAAAAGTTTTTCTTGTAGCTTAATCATCACCTTGCTGGATTTGAGTCAAACTTGGAACATAATTCAACAAAAATGGTTTGAATGCGTCTCCAAAAGCCACTTCCCTAACTTTGTTGTCCTCTCCAACGATGTATACCATAGTTTGGCTTTTGTATCCATTATTTTGAGTATACACGAGGACTTTCTTCTCCACATCGACCAACAATAACATGTCAAATTTGGGCTCAGGCGTCAAATCCACCGCTAAGACCTTGATCCACGACAACACTTTGGTCTCACCAATCTTATTTGTCACCCATATCTCTGTCTACGACGTAAATGTACGTTGTAATAACACGGAAAGTTTCTCTTCTCTAACAACAGATAGATACTCGTTTTGATAACCATGATATGGATGCGGATAAGGTAGACATAGACGTTCAAATCTTTCTGTTGTATGATCAAAACTGATTAAGAATAAGCCGAGTTGTTTCTCTTTTTCATCTGTAGCAAACCAGTAAGTCTTTCCTTTCAAAGACACGTTCCGAATGTACATATCGGTGCAGTCCACATTGACATCAAGGATCCTCCTCCATGAATTCGAGTTAATCTCATAAATTTCGAATTCTGGGTCTTGGTGACCATAAAACCTGCGGCTCAATATTTTGTAGCTCTTATTGCCAGATTTGTTGTCTTGGTAAGAACCAAGAGCATAGGTACAGATGTAGCAAAGCTTTCTGTGTTGGATCCACTTGGTTTGACCGGTACACGGGTTCCACACCACGAGGCTAGTACTTTCCACCTCGTTGTTGTCACAGACGCATAACAATAAGCCATAATAAGTGTGGCAGAAACCAACGTGGGTTGGGCTAGTGGTACTTGAGGGGGTAATCCCAATATGGTGCCCGCAGTTCGATTCCCGTTGGCCACCGAGGTTTTCACCGGGCCCCCTCGGGCCTCCAGGAAACACACTGAGCGTTGGGCTCGGACGGCCCGACAGGGAACCGGCCTCAAGCCTTGGTGCTAGTCGGGCTTCGGTCCGGATACCTGGATTATCAAAAAAAAAAAAATAAGTGTGGCAGAGTAGAGAGGTCCCGAACTGATCTAAACTAGAATGAGGGTCGATTAGGTTAAGTTCACCAGTGACCTCTATAGGTGAAACTCTATGTAGATTGATGCTCATCGAAGAAAACCCAAACTCATTCCACATGAGAATCAGAGATTGTCTTGGGGCTTTATGGAAGTGTTTTTCTTGTGAATCTCTTATCGTTGTATAAAAGGTTCCATCGTTTGCAAGTAGATCGTAATCGTTTCAAAGATGTTCCGGAACGCGGCAGAGTATCTCCTCTAACAAATCCTCTGGAAGTTCTGGCATCATCATTGTTATCTCCGAAGGAAGAAACTGCCGGTGGTGGCTTTGATGTTGTTTAGGGTTTTATGTTTGCTTTATTGTTGTTTAGAGTTTTTTTGTTTTCGTTATGCGCACTCTTAATATATAGAGACGAATAAATAAAGTTTAGAGAAACTGACTAAAATACCTTAATTTATAATATTGTTCAAATGTAATACCCAAATTTTTTGTAAAATTGTTTTATTTCTCGGGAAATTTAAATTTATAAAGATAACGCCGATGAACCGTTTTACACTTCAAAACATTTGTGATTCCGCTATTTTATATCATTCAAAATATTCATAAGTTTTCACGTTTTTGAGTTTATGAAAAATGACTCTACTTTATAATACAAACTTGTTTAAAAATAAATAGAAAAATAAAACGTCATTAATCTATTGACGGATTCAAATCTTTCGGATATTTTTGAGACTGGTTTGGAATCAAAATATGAGAAGGCAGAGCGGATTTTTTTGAAGAGTTGAGAAATTTCATAAAAGACATCATAATAGACGAAGACTTTGGGGATCCCCTCGGACTTGGTATGGGTGTTTACTGTTCTATTATATTCATGTTTCTTCTATCTGTTATTTTTTTTTATATATCCGATCGGCTGATCCGGTCAGCCCTAGGGGAACGCACTGAAGTGCTACCATGTAGACTCGTCGCCAATACCTAGGTGTTGGACTACCACACTGCCTAACCCCAAGTTTGGAATGCTTTCCGACTAATGCCCGGGGGTATCCAGTTAGCCTGATCCCGGGTACCATGTGAATTGCTTGGGCCAAGGCCCAAGTCCAGACTTCCCACACAAATGTGATTTTTGTTTCCAGGATGGATCGAACTTGGGTTAGTTCCTTCCAACCTTTCCCCAATTCTCCCTTACCACTAGAGCACAACCGTGTGGGCAAGATATTATCCCCGGACCTAAAGATTAGTCTTTGAGATTAAAAAACCTTTAGGATCACCTGAATTATAAAATAAAAAATAAAAAAAATAACTAATAGCTTAATGGAGAAAACTTCAGAGGAAGTAAATCCTCCAAAAATAGGTGTATGCCGTTTGAAGTGGAGAGCACACAGTATTCTTTAGTAAAAGGCTAAAGAATAGTTCACTTTGTGCTCACCACACGGCTCCATGAATTTACAACTTAAGCTCAATCCTTGAGGATTCGTCACCTTAGCTACACAACCGATTGAACTATGAGATTAATGGAGCAAACTTCAGAAGAAGTTACTCCTCCAAAAATAGGAGTACGTATGCCGTTAAATGTGGAGAGCACACGGTATTCTTTAGTAAAAGGCGAAAGAATAGTTTGCTTTATGCTCACCACATGGCTCCATGAAATTACAACTTAAGCACGAAATGTTTCTTATAAGTGAAGAATAGTTTGCTTTGTCCTCACCACATGGCTCCATGAAATTACAACTTAAGCACGAAATGTTTTTTATAAGTGAATCCTTGGCCGTTTAGTTTTAGTTTAGTTTTCAGATTCTGGTTTCACTACATGAATTAGTCATGTCGTGAGATAGAGGCTTCATTCCACAACCCTAGCAGAAATATTCAAACTTCTTGACTTTGTCACATGTAAACATAACTCTTTTTGATGTAAGGAAACATTGATCATAAAACCTAAAACTGAGGTAATTACAAAGCAATGAATACATGGCAAATAGTATTTTTTTTAGTGAATATCTGTTTATTAAGTATTCAAAGGACATGACTGAGATAAAAGTGAAATAAACAAGTTAAGAAAAAACAAAAACCAAAAAAGGTTTTCTTGTAGCTTAATCATCACCTTGCTGGATTTGAGTCAAACTTGGAACATAATTCAACCAAAATGGTTTGAATTCGTCTCCAAAAGCCACTTCCCTAACTTTGTTGTCCTCTCCAACGATGTATACCATAGTTTGCCTTTTATATCCATTATTTTGAGTACACACGAGGACTTTCTTCTCCTCATCGACCAAGAATTTTATGCCATCTCTAAGCTCAGGCTTCAAATCCACCGTTAAGCCCTTGATCCAAGACAACACTTTGGTCTCACCAATCTTATTTGTCACCCATATTTCTGTCTTCGGTGTAAGGTTGCGTTGTAATAACACGGAAAGTTTCTCGTCTCTAACAACAGAAAAATCAATGTTTCGAAAATCAGGATACTTATACGGAAGATGTAGACGTTCAAATCTTTCTGTTGTATAATCAAAACTGATCATTAAGATTAAGCCAAGCTGTTTCTCTTTTTCATCTCTAGCAAACCAGTAAGTCTTTCCCTTCAAAGACACGTTTTGAAGGTACATAAAGGTGCAGTCCACAGTGACATCAAGATGCCTCCATGAATTTGAGTTAATCTCATAAATTTCGAATTCTGGGTAACCATTAATCCTACGGCTCAATATTTTGTAGCTATTATTTCCGGATTTGTTGTCTTGGTAGGATCCAAGAGAATAGGTGCAGAAGTAGCCTATCTTTCTGTGTTGGATCCACTTGGTTTGACCAGTACACGGGTTCCATACCACGAGCCTAGTACTTCCCTCCATGTTGTTGACGCATAACAATAAACCGTCTGAACTGTGATAGCTTTGATAGATCTTGAATAGATATGAACTAGAATGAGGGTCGATTAGGTTAAGTTCACCAATGATCTCTATTGGTGAAACTCGGTGGAGATTGAAGCTCATCGAAGAAAACCCTAAATTCTTCAACATGAGAATCAGAGATTGCCTTGGGGCTTTACGGAAGTGTTTTCTTGCGAATCTCTTATCGTTGAATAAACGGTTCCATAGTTTGCAAGTACATCGTAACTGTTTCAAAGATGTAGCCGGAACGCGGCAGAGTATCTCCTCTAACAAATCTTCTGGAAGTTCCGGCATCATCATTGCGATCTCCGAATGAAGGAAGTGCCGGTGGCTTTGATTGTTGTTTAGGGTTTAGTGTTTGCTTCTGTTTCTTAGGGTTTTATAGTTTCTTTATGCTCTTAACTCTTAAGGCGGGTTTAGAAAAAATGACTAAAAAACCCTAAATTTTATAAAATTGTTCAAATAATACCCCATAGTTTTTGTGAAACTGTTTTATTCCTCAGGAAATTTAAAATTATAAAGACAACACCAATGAATGGATTAACACTTTTTCAAGTTTTCACAAAGTGATTCAGCTACTTTTTTACCATTAAAATCCATCAACTTTTCACGTTACGTTTTTTAAAAGTGATTACTTATATACTACGTTAGAAAATATAAATTAGATACAACAAAAAGGTTTATTTTTAGGTATGACAAAACAAAACGTTACTAATTCATATATCAATGTATTCATATCTTTAGGATATTTTTGATTAAGAAGAAGACGCAAAATCATATCTTATATACTACAGATTCAGGTATTTTTGACTTTTGAGACTCATTTGTAATCAGAAGATTAGAAGGCAGAGCGATAAATCAGAAGTGTGGAGAATGATAAGTCCCCAGACTTTGATGAAGTAGATAAGATGTTTCTTCGGGCTGCTTTGGTTTTAAAGAAAAAAAGACGATCAAGATTCAGTAGCGATTCTAGTTTTTATCATCTTTGTTCATCTCACAGTTCAAGTAATCAAATAATCAAAACTGTTTCGAGTAAATTCTAAAATCACATGGTAGCAAAATTAAGAAAAAAAAATCAACTATGAGAGAATTTAGAACGTTTTGCTAACATGTGATTTTAGTAGTGAAATTTGAACCAAATAAATATTACTGTTTCTTTGGTTCATGATCAGATTCATTTGAAGTAGTATTAAGGAAGATCAAGATAGTAGAGACGGATGTAGGGCCAAAGAGATTAAACGACAAACCTTAATGATAACTTTCTTGAGTGTAATACTGACATGAGAAAAGAAAAGGGAGGATAATTTTGCAAGTCTTTCTTAGATTGACATGAGAGTCTCTATGTGATTGGATTAAGTACAGATTTGATATGGAGAGGTTTGTCTCCAAATCCATTTTGGCACCTATATGGTCATCCACAAACCCATCAACCACGACTCTTCTGAAGCTGTTTCCATTTGGATCAAAATAAATAATATGAAACCTAAAGTTGTTGGATGTTGGTACATAAATAAACTCACCGGCATCATTAACAAAATTTGGTGAAAACCGGGTTTGGGAAATTGGATCATTGTAAGGAAAAGGTAAACCAAGATGTTTATACGACCACTCCTGATTCTCTATATCCTCCAGACTCCACATAGTAATATTACCTCTTGAAATTACAGAAATTAACTTTCCCTCCAAATGTATCAGTGATGGTGTCATGTGTTTAACAAAGTCGCAAGTATATCTCCAAGAGTCGGAAAGTTCTTGCTGGTTTTTTTGGTAGTGAAAGAGGGTTGAGGCAGGATTGTTTTCTATCCCCTTACTTAATTTTTATATGTGTGAATGGTCCTCTCTGTGAAGTTAGATGAAGTTACGACTAGATGAGAATTTGGCTACCACCCGGGCTGCATAAATTCAAAGGCAACCCGGGTGATGGGAGATCAAATAAGGATATTGTCAATGTGTTTGATCAGTTTGCTATGGGATCTAGTTTATAAATTGGCTTGGTAAAAAAAACGATGTTCATCACATGAATCTCCCATGCTACTAGAACAACGATTGTATCGAGTTTTCCATTTGAGGTGAGGGCTTGCCCTATACGATATATGGAGACCTCTGATGACTAAGAGAATTTCAAGAGGTGACTGTTAGTTATAATTAGTGATGTTAAAATGGGTTTCATAGCTCATTTAGTTAAATGGGTATGTTGTTAAAAAAATAGCCTATTTAAACCCATTTATAGAAAAGTGTTTTAAAAGGTTAAATGGGTTAGCCCGATTAAGCCCATTTATTAAATGGGTTTTCTCTCAAATAAATGGGTAGCCCATTTTTTTCTAACCTAATCTTCAAAACTCTTCTTTTCTCTGAGACAAAACACTCTCAGTTAAATGGGGTGGGTTTAAATGGGGTGAGTTTAAATGGGGTGGGTAAACCCATAATAACATCACTAGTTATAAGAAAAGATTAGGAAATGCATCAGTTCCTGGAAAAATCGTTTCTTATCTTTTGCTAATATCAAAAACTTACCAACGTTGTGTTGGCCCAGTGGTAAATCTCCTAGGTGGATGTACAGGGTTCGACGCCAGTTGGGAGGGATCACTTTTCCAAAAGAGATGAATTTAACCTGGTGTGGGTCCCGCTTCTAGGAGATGTAGGGCCTTCGGGTTTGAACTTCCAGATATTCAAAAAAAAAAAAAAACAACTTCTAGATTTCGGCATTCCGACTCTCAAGGTCATGTGTGAAGGAGATAGAGAGAATAAGCTCTGCTTTACTTTTGGTCCGGTCCAGAACTAAATCCGTGGAAAGTTAAGATGTCATGGAAAGAGATATGTAAACCTAAAGAGGATGAGGGGTTTAGGTCTAAGGTCAATCAAAGATGCAAATAAAGTGTGTTGTTGAAGTTGATTTGGCTATTGGTAACAGCAAAACACTCTTTGTGGGTTTACTGGATACAACAACAACTGATCCGTATTGGCTCTTTTGGTCGGTAAACGAAAAAACAAGTATGGGATCATGGATATGGAAGAAGCTACTCAAATATCGATCATGGATATGGACGTATGGGATCATGGATCATGGATATGGAAGTAGCTACCCAAGCCTGTGTGGTCTAGTGGCAGACGAAGCTTTGGTGAAAGGTGAAACTCCCAGATCCGAGTTCGATTCTCCCTGGAAACAAAAACACATTTGTTTGGGAAGTCTATCAGTTGGGTTTTGGCCCAATTGGTTTACCTGGTAGTCAGAAATGCAGATGGCCTGACTACCCCCTGGCATTAGTCGGAAGGTATTCCAAACTCAGATCAGGCAGTGTGGTGGCTCAATTCTACCTGGATCAGGAGAAGCCCACTCTGTAGCACCTCGGTGCGTTCCTACCGAGGCCAACCGGATCAGCCGATAGGGTTTATCAAAAAAAAAAAAAATCGATCAATAGCAAAGGGTATTCATAAGGTAGAGGTGAGCAATGGGGAACATACCTCCTTCTGGTTTGATTCTTGGTGTTCTCTGGGTAGGCTATATAACGTGTTGGTTGCTAGAGGATATATTGATTTGGGGATCAGTTCTACAGCTTCTTTAGCGGAAGTGTTCCAGTCTCCTCTGAGACATAGAACAACTTTCCTAATACAGATTGAAGAGGAGATTCTAAAGCTTAAGGTCCAAAAATTTACAGATTCTGATATAGCTTCATGCAGAAGCAAAGCTGATAAAGTTTATAAAAGAAATTCTCATCCAAGCGACACCTAAGTGCTCTTTCATAGTTTGGCTTGCCACACATAACTGTTTGTCAACCGATAGTATGTCTTCTTGGAATGGGGTAGGGAACATTGGTTGTGTGTTCTGTGACCATGATTGAGTCGCGTGATCACCGCTTTTTCACTTGTAGCTTCATATTGCCGATTTGGTTTAAGCTCGGCCACAATATCAGTTAACATCCTTAAGCAGCACACATTAATTCCTCTTAAGGAATAGAAGATGTCATGGAGAACAACCACTCTTCGTGGCTTCTCTTCTAAAAAGCATAGACTGCAATGTCCAGAACTGTTGCTCGACGGTGAAGACAGAGAACAACGGAAAACTAGAGGAAGGGCTGCAACAAAGGACCCCTAAATCAGACTACAGAATTTTTGGTTTACTTCCATTTGTTTATTCTGAATTTTTAAATTAAAACTCAGCAGATTAGGATGAATGATGCATATAATGTAACCATGGTTTTTGTTTGAATAAATTTAACATTCATAAAATGAAAAAGAAAAATGTGACCAGATCCTGTTTCGAGTTTTACCGCCAAGGTTTGATCCTTAATCCAAAAATAAACTATCGGCCTTCAGCCTTCTAACTCGTCGGTAACAAAAGTTTACACAAATTTTCAAGTAAGAATCAAGAAAAACAAAAACCATGATTGTGAAACTGAAACCAAAGTTCTTGACTTTGTCAAATGTCAGAAGCTAGAACCTTAAAACTGATACTGGAACATAACTCTTCTTTTATGCAAGGAAATATAATTTGATCATAAAACTTACAAACTGTGTTAGTTACAAAGTAAAGAATACAATGGAAATTGAATACTACTTTTTAGTGAAGTATAATTTTATTGAGTATTCAAAGGACATGACCAAGATAACAGTGAAATAAACCAACTAAAAAAAAACAATGTTTGCTTATAGCTTAATCATAACCTTGATGGATTTGAGTCAAAGTTGGAACATAATAAAACAAGAATGGTTTGAATTCGTCTTCAAAAGCCACTTCCCTAACTTTGTTGTCCTCTCCAACAATGTATACCATGTTTTTGCCGTTTAATACAATATTTTGAGTACACACGAGGACTTTCTTCTCCTCATCGACCAAGAAGTTTATGCCAAATCTAAACTCAGGCGTCAAATCCACCGCTACGAACTTGATCCACGACAACACTTTGGTCTCACCAATCTTATTTGTCACCCATATCTCTATCTTTGATGTAAGTTCACGTTGTAGTAACACAGAAAGTTTCTCTTCTCTGACAACTGATAGATACTCGTTTTGATAACCATGATATGGATGCGGATAAGGTAGACATAGACGTTCAAATCTTTCTGTTGTATAATCAAAACAGATCAAGAATAGGAGCAGTTTCTCTTTTTCATCTCTAGCAAACCAGTAAGTCTTTCCCTTCAAAGACACGTTCTGAATGGACATGTAGGAATCCACAGTTACATCAAGAATCCTCCATGAATTTGAGTTAATCTCATAAATTTCGAATTCTTGGTCATCATATATCCTGCTCAATATTTTGTAGCTCTTATTTCCGGATTTGTTGTCTTGGTAGGATCCAAGAGCATAGGTGCAGATGTAGCCCATCGTTCTGTGTTGGATCCACTTGGTTTGGCCAGTACACGGGTTCCATACCACGAGCCTAGTATTATCCTCCATGGAGGATTCCATACCATTGTTGACACATAACAATAAGCCGTCTGAACTGTGACAGTTTTGATAGTTCCTGTAGTGATCTAAAGATTCTAAACTAGAATGAGAGTCGATTAGGTTAAGTTCACCAGTGACCTCTATAGGTGAAACTCTGTGTAGATTGATGCTCATCGAAGATAACCCAAAATTCTTCAACATGAGAATCAGAGATTGCCTTGAGGCTTTACGGGAGTGTTTTCTTGCGAATCTCTTATCCTTGAATAAATTGTGCCATAGTTTGCAAGTACATCGTAACCGTTTCAAATAAATCATCATATCATCTACATAATAAAAAAAAAAAGTAAATTTTTTTCTGCATAATAAAAAAAAAGTAAATTTTTTTCTGCATATGCCAATATTTGAATTTTTAAAAACGCATATAAATTGTTCAATCTATAAAAGAAACAATTAAACGGGTCAAAAATTCAGACTTGAGTAATATATTTTTTTTACACAAAAATAAAGTCAACAAAAATTCCGACTGAGCAACGGGTCAGAATTTGAATATTTATATTCGATTTCATACATTAATTTTTTTGAAATGTATAATTTTATATACTAAAATAAAAATTTAAATATTTTAATTAGCAACATTTAAAATAAGTTTTACTTGATATTTTTAGAGAATATCATCAATACTTAATAGTTCAAAAAGTTAAAAATTATAAATACTCTAATTTGATTATTTTTAAAAATATTTATAATAGGTAGCGGGTTAAATATAATATATTATATGATGAAATGAGTTTTGATCCTTATAACTATTTGAATAGTTATATTTAATTTCATATAATTTATTTTTTGAAATTCATAATTTTATAAACTACAAAATTTTTATAAAGATTTTAATTTGGAATATTTAAAAATAGTGTAGAACATTTAAATATGGTTTGACACCTCTAAATATTTGAAAATTTGATTCCGCAAGCAATTTTAGAATTAACGAATAATAGATGAGAAATTGTTAAGAATGCCATCTTTTTTATACCCTTTTTTAAAACTGCCCTTTTTTGCTTACCATTTTTAAAAATGCCCCTTAATTATTTCTAATATGACTAAATTACCATTCCTTTCATAACCTAAGAACTATCGGTTCCCTCATCTCTTCTCTCTCTCTCGCTCTCTCACGTTGATCGGCGAGTATTCCGATTTCAAATCTCGATTCCGATTTCAAATCTCGATTCCGATTACAGATCTCGATCTCGCTCTCATTTCAGATCTCTTCTCTCTGTTCCGATTTTGCTTTTCCTTCTGTTTTCGAGTCCCACATCGATTCCAGGTTAGATTCCTCTTATGTCCCCTTTTCGTTCAGTTTTCGAGTCCCACATCGATTCCATGTTAGATTCTTTGTAAGGTTTGTCTTTAGAGGTTAGATTATGTGGTTATGTGGTTCTGTTTTGAAAGGTTTGTCTTTTACAGGTTAGATTCTGTGATTCTGTGAAAGGTTTTTCTTTTAGAAGCTTTTTTGATTTTAAAGGTCTTATATGGTCTTTAAAGGTTTGTTTCTCTTAAAAAATTTTGCTTTTGTTTTTACTGGATATGGTTTTATACTTTTAATGCTTGGTTTTTACGCAGATGTCTAACAATGACTCATTGGATTTTACAACGTATTTTAAAGGTTTTATTACATGCTTTTTAAAGGTTTGTTTTTGACTGTTAATGATTTTAGTGCTTCAACTTTGTGTATATCATCTCTGATTTATTCAACTTCTGGATTTTATAATGTGTTTTAAAGGTTTACATGTTTTTTTAAAGGTTTGTTTTTACTGTTAATGATTTTAGTGCTTCAACTTTGTGTATATCATCTCTGATTTATTCCACTTCAAACGTTTGGTTCCATGACAAATGGCACAGACTCTCAGCTAGCATAGGTCCTTGCAGGTTGAAGCAAAACACCTCAAGACCAGCATCCTCGATGTAGTCAATCACGTAAAGTCGCTGCAGTTTTGGGCATTGCTAAGAAGCTTGACAAGATGAATCAAACATGTCCAAACTCTCCTAACTCGTCTTCTGATACGATTCCATTAGTTGGAAAAGAAGAAAATTTGATGATGATTTCGTTACATGTTGTTATGTACCAAAAAGTTTTTACTCAACTTTTATGTGTCTTTTGTAAGTTTGTAACTTAAGAAAATTCCATGTAACACTATTGATTGTTATATTTAGTGCTTTAATTGTTAAAGTGATTGCTATTATTATACAAGTGACTCAATGTGGCTCAATACATGTGATTTGATGAAATAGTGAAGTTAATTTTACAATGTATTTTAAAGGTTTTACGATGTATTTTAAAGGTTTTACAATGTATTTTAAAGGTTTTACAATGTGTTTTAAAGGTTTTACAATGTATTTTAAAGGTTTTACAATGTATTTTAAAGGTTTTACAATGTGTTTTAAAAGGTTTTACAATGTATTTTAAAGGTTTTACAATGTGTTTTAAAAGGTTTTACTAGATATTTTAAAGATTTTACAAGGTGTTTTAATGATTTTACAAAGTATTTATACGGTATAAGATGAGTTATAAAACTTTGAAAATATTTTATAAAGGTTTTATAAGGGTTTTAAAATTTAAAGATTTTACAAGATATTTTAAAGGTATTTGAAAGGTTTACAAGGTATTTTAAAATGGTTTACAACATGTATTTTAAAGGTTCGACAACATATATTTTAAAGGTTTTACAAGGTATTTTAAAGGTTTTAAAAGGTTTTACAAAGTATTTTAAAGGTTACGTGAATTTTAAAGGTTTTACAAGGTATTTTAAAGGTTTAACAACATGTATTTTAAATACTTTACAAAGTATTTTAAAGGTTATACAACGTGGATTTAAAAGAGTTTACAATATATTTTAGATCACATCCACAACACAAATCACAATCGTTATTCTAAAGTTCTTAAGAACACAAATCAGAAACACCAAAACCACATAAAACTCAAACTAATCAATATAACATCAAGTCTTAAGATCTTCTCCAGTCTTAAAATTTTACACAGGTACCCATTAGGCCATTATGCAAGAAGCCTTTCTTCTCCGGGAAACAAAAAATGTAATCCACTGCACATAAACAATAATCTAATCCCATGATTCATCACTCTGCAGCAAAAACAACAATCGATTTTGAAATCACAACTGACAAAACTGAAACTGTGAAATAAAACTTAAACCGAAGAAGAAGAGATTAAAGAGGATTTTTGTGTGATTACAGAAAGTTGAGAAACCAGATCGAGGAGATTACACAGTTAGACCAATTCTTAATCCTATTCTCCACCAAATCGAGAAAATAGATAAACACATAAGCGAATCTCTTAAAAATCAATTGATGGACTAACTCAATTCGGATATGTGAAAGAGGTAATGACAGATTGAGGCAGACTCGGATCTTGGACTGCGGACACAAATCGATGACCAAATCGACTACGACGACGACGATAGATGAAGGATATCCTCGCCGATTTAACTCCCGGCGAAGCTCTGGTCGGCAAAGATGAAGATTCTCGTCAAATTGAAGATGAGGTTTTGGTCTCGTCGGTGGTGTGGTGATAGGAGACGGCGTGAATATCAAGCACATGGCATCGTCCGACGACGGTGAAGATGACAGGAGATTGACCTTTTGTTCATCGGCGGTGAAGGTGATGAGAGCCGTCGAGATTTTTGGTTCGTGCTTGTCTGGGGAACAATTTTGTCTTTTAGGTCAAAGCCTCATTAAGGGTAAAATAGTCAATTTCAGAGAAGCTATTAGGGAGGGGGCATTTTTGAAAAAGGGTATTGAAAAAGGGGCATTTTTGTGAGTCTCCCATAATAGATTGTGCACAGAATATTTTAAAATGAAATATTGAGATTCTAAAATAAAAATATAGACTCCACGCACATGTTGATTTTGGTATTATTATATACTAAATATATGTTTATAACATATTCGATTATGCGAATAATTGGTAAATTCCGTAATTATAAATCTCAAACAAATTCTGTAATTAGATTAGCTCAAACAAATCTCTATTTCAACAACCAAAGAATTATGAATTGAAAAAGAATTTTCTAAATTAATTCAAAATAATACCTAATTTTCTTAATTAATTCAAAATAATCTATGTTTTATATGCGATTTATTTATGATATTTTAATTTTTGATCTAACTGAAATATATGCAATCCTATTTTGTGGTTGTTAACATAAATTAACTCATTGTTCAAAAATATTACTTTTTAAAAAATAAAATTATTTTCCGTTTTCATATCTTAAAAAAAAAATTATCCATAATTGAGTATTATAGAAAAAATTCTATATTTATTCTAATATTGTATATAGGGACTGACAAAAAAATTAATATTTTTTCACTTACTATTATAATATATTAAAACTTAGTTCTAATATATATATTATATAAATTTTGTAATAAATAAAATTCAACCCGTACTTTAGTACGAGTGATGATCTAGTTTATACTATTAATTGGGAATCACTGAAAATTAAATAACCTTATAAAAGGTAAAATATTACTACATATGATGCCATTAGGATTTTTAAATGGGCAATTTACACAAATGGCTCCAAAAAAGTTTTTTTTTCAAAAATAGCCCCATCTTTCATAATTTCCAGAAATAGCACCCAATACTTTTTAATTAACCATTAATTGAAAAATAGAAAATACAGAAAACCTAATCTCGAGCTACTGCCTCCACGATTCTCGTTTGCCTCCGATTCTCTATAGTTGCCTCCGATCGTCGGAAAATTCGATCTCCTGCGGTATAACGAACCACTGCCTCCACGATTCCTCGGCTCAACCCAGTCGACCTAATTTGAGAAAGAGACCTCTCTCCGTCGCACCCAACGATCTCTAGCCTTCCTGATCTCTGGCCTTCCCGATCTCTGGGCCATCACTGCTGCAGGAACTGGTTCGTTCTCTAACTTGTCTTTTTATATTTCTGGAAAATGAGTTAGCTCTGTGAAATCATGATTGGAATCTACCATAGAGAATCTCATGTGTGCTGCTCGTTAAGTGAACAATTGTTGAGTAGAGGAAGATGAGTAGAGGAAGATTAAAGAGATTGTTGAGTAGAGGAAGATGAGGAAAATATTTGTTAAGAGTAAGATAAGTTCGTCGTCGTCATAGATTTCGATTGTCGGCTCCTTCGGCTTGTAGTTTGCAGGTTTTCCACAGGTAGAGTCTGCAGCTAATGCTTCGTCAAGAGTTTGCTACAATTTTTCATCGACACGCAAATTACAAATCCAAAGTTGGCTACTTAGATGTTGGTTTCAGAAATTTAGGTAGACCTTCCTAAACTTTAGGGACGTCTTCCTAAACATTATGAAATCCTTCCTAAATTTTTAAAATGTGTTTTTGAATCTCTTTATTTATGTTTTGTAATGTATCAAAGATTACTCCATCAGTGAAGCGTAATGTACATACAAATTACAAATCCAAAGTTGGCCACATAGAGGTTGTTTTCAGAAATTTAGGTAGACCTTCATAAACTTCAATGACGGCTTCCTAAACATTATGAAATCCTTCCTAAATTTTTAAAAATGTATTTTTGAATCTCTTTATTTATGTTTTGTCAAATGTATCACATATTACTCCATTAGTGAGGGGTAATGTATCACAAACTCATCTATGTCCCAACTTTAGGAAGGCAAGCTACTACGAAGTTATAAAATCTCTTTTTATGTCATGATGTGTTTCATGTTTCATAGAAATATATACGTTCGTTTGTACAAGATCGTATAATTAGAAGCTTGGCTCACTAGTTACATGTTCTATTACAAAAACAATAGGTCCCGGTTTCGAATCCTGGTAGAAGTAACTATTACAGTTTTTTTTTTTAGGGAAGGCCTTCCTGAATATGTATATATCCTTCCTGAATTTTTGGGAACCCTTCCTGAATTTCAAAAATTGTTTACTTTCGCATAGTTTGCCTCATATTAATCACAAATTACACATTTTTTTAGGGTCAATGATCTATAAAATCTCTTTTTAAGTCATGATGTGTTTCGTGTTTCATAAATATATATACGTTCGTTTGTACAAGATCTTACAATTAGACGTTTGGCTCACTGGTTACATGTTCTATTACAAAAACAATAGGTCCCGGTTTTGAATCCTGGTGGAAATAACTATTACTGTTTTTTTTTTTAGGAAGGCCTTCCTGAATTTGTATATATACTTCCTGAATATTTGGAAACCCTTCCTAAATTTCAAAAAATTGTTTACTTTTGCATAGTTTGCCTCAAATCTTTCACAAATTGCACACTTAAGATGCAAAGGATATGCTGAGAGCATACAACTGAGTGGATAAGCTATAGGAAACATATAGTATCTAACAAAACCATACATTGAATATCTCAAAAAAATATAAATAGAAACAGATGATACTTTTATAGTTCAGAACTATCATAGAAGTACCAAAACAGTCTAAAACGGTTTCACAAGCATCATACATCCAATAAAGAAACATAGTCCTAAGAAATCTTAACACACTCATTGAAGATATCCACAGCCAACTTGTTTCTGATGTCTTCTGAATCTATATCACGCAGCTTGGAGAAATCTTCAATTCTCTGATTCTCTGAAACTCTGTAGCAGAGAGGATGCGTTGTACTTTATCGATATACTCATATCTTGCACATTGATTTATCCTAACATCTGAATTTGGCTCTTGTCCTAGGTACTTTCGCGAGAAGCTTCTTTTGGAATTTGAAGTTAGGAGCTTTAATGAAATCACTTGCATTGTTTTCACAAACTTTTTGTATTGGAAATATAATGGAGGCATTGTCAAAAGCTAAAATCCGTTGCTTCATCTACAAGAGAAAACAACGTCCAAGGAGTATCGTCTAACATTTGTTGTATGTTTAAGGTTTGAACAGTGAAATATAGTTGCCCACTTGCCACATAATTACATTCATCTTTGAATAATTATTATATTAGTTATATCACTTTTAAATATACAAATATTTCAATGTTAAATAGTGATTTTTACATTCAAAAAAAATAAAATAAAAAAAATAGTGATTTTAACAATTGTCATAGTGGTATAACAGTCATTCGTCAAAGTTTTTCGTTCAAATCTTGTTTTCTTCCCCAAATAGATTATCTTCCGTTGAGTTTCTTATAACTAATTCATGAAAGTCTAATCTTTAATTAACACATATAACAAATTTTGAAAAACGGATTTGAAAACGCATATAACAAATTTAACCCTAA